TCATTCCTCATTTCTCCTTTTTCTCACTGTCTCTGTTCTAATAGGCTCTGGACCATGAGCTCCCAGTGATGGAACCGTACTTTGTCCAGAACCCGGACCTCTCTGAGTCCGGTCCAGGCCTGAGAGTCACCTGGCTCGGCCACGCTACAGTTCTGGTTGAGATGGACGGAGTGAATATTCTGACAGACCCAATCTTCAGCCAGAGGGCTTCGCCGTTTCAGTTTATAGGGCCCAAAAGATTTAGAGGGCCTCCCTGCACCGTGGAACAGGTTCAGTAGCTTTCAGAGTTACAACAGATCTCCAGTTCCTTCGTTTCTTTGGCTGCTTCCATCACACCTGTTTTTTCTTTTCCCGTCCTGCCAACAGCTGCCCAGGATCGATGTAGTCGTCATCAGTCATTCTCATTATGATCACCTGGACGTCGGGTCTGTGGCCAGCCTCAACGCACGCTTTGGAGGGGAGCTACGCTGGTGCGTGTGGTGGACAGTGTCTGGTTATCAGATCGACTTTAGATGTGTCACTTCATGTATTCACTTTGCGCGGTCATCTAGTCTCTTTTTTTACTATTAGAAGTGGAATGCGTCTTTTATCTTTATGATTGTGTTTCACAGGTTCGTGCCCCTCGGTCTGATGGACTGGCTGGTGAAGATGGGCTGTGAGAATGTGATGGAGTTGGACTGGTGGGAGGAGAACTGTGTTCCGGGTCACGACGACGTCACGTTTGTCTGCACACCTGCTCAGCACTGGAGCAAACGCACAGCGCTGGACGACAACAAGGTGATAGATTATAATACTGCTACACACAGCACCATGGCATTCACACCTTTATGGCTTTTATTTGGTGAGTTCCATTGATAATACAAGTGTTCAATGAGCAACAAGAGAGCGTGTCAGTGACTTTTGTTTACATTTTTTACTTAAATTCAGAACAGATAAGTCCATAATATCGTGCTCTTTTTCCTCTTCATCATTCTTTCAGTCTTTATGGAGCAGCTGGTCTGTTTTGGGTCCAGATCATCGATTCTTCTTCGCTGGTGATACCGGCTACTGCGCTTCCTTCCAGGAGATAGGCCGACGCTTTGGACCGTTTGACCTCGCAGCAATCCCCATCGGAGCGTACCTGCCCAGGTATGGTACATGCACACAAACAGGATTAAAGGTGTAGTTGGGTTTCTTTGAATTGACAAGACGCTGTTTTTAGGTAATATTTGTTATTTATTGTCCTGGCCTACATTATATTGATGTGTTTTTATTATTCTGCACCCCTTTGTTGAAAGTTTTGTTGAACTATGACCTCAGCAGGAAACAGAAATGTGTTTGCATATTCAAAGATGGACTTTATGGTGGAGCTGCTGTATTGAACTACATCAAAACTTAATCACATCTCTAAGCTATACAGCTGTGATAAGTACTGCACAGTTACTTACTGCTATTGTGAGTAACATCAAACATGACAGAAATCCATCCATGACTATTGTCATGAAGACGATTTGAACCTTCTGTGGTGTTTCAGGGACGTGATGCAGGGGCAGCATGTAGATCCAGCGGAGGCTGTTAAGATCCACCAGGACATTCAGGCCAAACAGTCTGTGGCAATACACTGGGGCACCTTTGCTCTTGCCTACGAGGTAGGTGTACACAGACACACACTTAGTGATTGTATGCTTTCAGTGAGGAGGTATGAGCTGCTTTTTAGCTGAATGTTGGAAGAGAATCGATATCACTCTAGTGTTTGATAATTATGAAAGTAGATTAACCAGATGAGTAGCTTAACCTCACAAAGATCGGAAACGAAGTCTGAATCTGTCCAAAGGGACCAGCTCACTATACTGTAAATATATAAAATCAATATGTGGTCTTACAGAGGTCTGTATGTCAGACTGCTGACTCTTCAAATAGCTGGAAAACACGTTTGAAAGTTAGAAATGACATTTTAGGACTTGCATAGTGTTGATAGGCTGAAACAAACTCCACAGCTCTCCAGACATGCTGTATGTGACAGTCTCTTCATAGCTGCAGCGCTCGTTTTCCAGAGTTTCTGCAACACATTTTCAGAGTTGCAAGTCTGTCGCTCTTCAACAGTTTATTTGAAAGCAAACAGTGGGTTCAGAGCAAATGGCTCCAGGATCTGTGCTCAGTCTATTCTGGAGATTGAGCCGACGCTGCCAGATATCACGTGACTCACAAGAGTGTGTCAGCAGATCTGTGGCAAGAGTCGACGCTGTAAACTCTGAAAGAACAGCCTCCAATACATGTGCACATCTAAACCTGAGAAATATTCAAAGTAGAGATTTTTCTCCCAACATATGTGCATTATTTTTTAGATCATAATTTAACCACAGAGAACTAGTTAAAACACTGAGTTTCTGCCTTTCAAGACTTGTTTTTATCCTACATGTTTGTATATTGATTAAAGAAGTCAGATATGTGATTGAGTGAGCTTTAGAGGTGCTGGTGGACTCTGGCTGTCTCCCCCTGTTTAGAAATGTTCTACTAACCTAACAGTCATCCTGTTCCAGCCACATACTGAATGAACACACAGTC